CTATGGCTGTTAAAAGTGCGGCAAAATATTCCGCATTGCTCTGGGTACCCTGTTTTTCCTTAATCAATTCGGCAGTTGCTGCCAGCACAGCAAGTACATCCTTTTGCAACACTGAACCCGACCTGAAATCATTACGGTCAGTTAGATATCATTTTCTTAAATATCATTTTCTTTCCATAAAAGACTTAAGGGGAAACTTAAGGGGAAACATGAGAAGGCGGGGAACTGTGGAAGGATATTCTAAAAAGACGGTTTGAAAGGGAAGACACAGATGGACAAAACGCGTTATCGATTGGTACCCACGACGTGCAAAAAGGCCAATAGGAAGGCCACCGATGCGTTGGTCCGATCAGTTAACTCGACTATATGGAGTGCTGTGGATGAGGCGAGTTCAGGACAGAACTTAGTGGTCTGGTTTTCGGCTCAACAGTCACTGGAGAAGATCAACAGCGCATCAGTGACGGAAACGCCGTATCAAGTATCAAGGTAAGGAAGGAAGGAATGCTTGGGAGTGGAAGAAACGGGAGGGAAAAATTTTGAGGCTTTTTGCATCTAGGCGAGAAAATCCCAAATTACGATGTTACTGGAATGCTTCAACAAGCGGGACATAGAGGCTGTTCGATCCTGACATTGGCAGACCCGGCGCGGGGCGAGGAGGGGTCTTTCGCCCTCCTCAAGAGCTTAGGTAGCAAGTATTTTACTGTTGAAAAGTCTACTTGGAACTCTCCCCCTGTCTGCCCCTCCCCCTCCTCCCGCCCCAGGAGCCTCTGAGGGGGGAGGGGAGGGGAGAGAGGTGCAGTGAGATGACCGGAGGGGAAGAGGTACATGAAATGTTCGAAGGAGGAGGGATAGTGCGGCGAGTGAAGGGTGAGTTGGAAGCTACCCAAGGGGAGATGGATGTAGTGACGAAGGAAGTGAGGTGAAAAATCGTCCCTCCTCCTTCCTCTCCCCCCAGAAGACCGTCCTGGATCCGCCTATGGGTTCTGAAATGCATATTCAGTTAGTCACCCATCATTTACCCCATGTATGTGCACCATTTAATTAACATCGAAGGCTTCCCTAAGATGGATGCCACCCTATTTTTCATATACTTTTTACTTTAACTAACATATACTCTTACTAGTAAGTTAATATAACTAATTTAAATTTAATTTATGACAATTACAATCATCACAATCGCCGTACTGACGAGGTCCAATTGTGGTAACGGCAAGAAATGTATACGACTTAATGGACCGAAATATTTTTTACCAATATTATAATTTTACTACTTTTTACCAATTCCTTAATATTACTTTTTATTTTATCCTTCTATTTCAAAGTACGTTTCCATTATTTGCGTTTTTCTTGAACAAAAAATTCAAAATTTGTTAAAAATGCGCGAAAATTTCTTACCATTATTGTAATTTTACTACTTTTACCAATTCTTTAATATTATTTTCTCTTTCGTTTCTCTTCCTATTTCAAAATACGTTTCTATTATTTGCGTTTTTCTTGAACAAAAAAATTCAAAATATGTCAAAAATGCGCGAAAATTACTTCCAAACACGATGTACGGGATCAAAAGTTGGATTTGTGCATGACGTGAAATTGGATAGTTGCGATTCCATGCTATTCGAGAAAATACTCGCACGATCCGACAGTGCTCCTCTGCGACTAGCATTTTCTGACACATCATCATCAAGATGCATAGTATGCTGTAAAAAGACAAGCTAAGTTAAACATGGCTTATTATAAATTAACTGATTTTTGCGAAAAATAAAAAATAATAAATAGCGGTGCAGACCAGGACAGCCGGTGCGATCGAGCGTTTTGTGCAATTCCGTCCACCGAACGATTGCCTGCTAATGATTTTCACTGCCCTGAATTTTAAATTTTCTGAATCGCACGCGGGCTGGGGATATACCCATAAAATTTCAGCTTCTTAGCTTTCGCTGGTTCCCGAAATAATAATTTTCTCCGCCAAAACTTTTACGGGGCCGTACGTGTTACCTGCGGGTACGGGGAAGCTGAATTTAAATTTTGCCGAAGGCACACATGGGCGGGGAAAATCGCCCTAAATTTTCAGCTTCCTAACTTTTGTGATTTCCGAGCTGAAAATTACGGACAGGTTGCTGCAGGTACACACACCCACATACACATACAACACACACAGACAACCTCGTGACAATATGCGTTTTGTAATGCTATTACACAGCATAAAACGCTGTCACACAACATAAAACGCATAACAAATAGCTGGCGCACCGAA